ACCCCCTCCCCTTGCACACCCACCTGGCCACGCCCACCCCATTTTGCACACTTGGCCCCGCCCCTTTTGCACACACGGCCCCTCCCCCACCCCTTGCACACCCAGGCAAAGAAACTTCCAGAAGCTGTCCGTCCGTTCATTAATGAATTTGTTATTAATTAATTACTGAATTATTAATTAATTAATTATCCCGTAATTACACCCGAGCCGCTGCGTGGGGTGGGGGAGGGGCGCGGGGGGTGGGGGGAGGGGCAGCTCGGCAGCGCTTTGGGGGTGGGGGAGGGGCATTGAAAAGGGGGAGGGGCTTTGAAAGGGGAGGAGCTTAGAGGGCATGGGGCGGGACTTAATTTTCTCTATAATTGGCGGGAAAAAAGGGAGGGGGCGGGGCTTGTTTGGAGGGGTGGGGGAGGGGCTTTGGCGGGTGGGGGGAGGGGCCGTGAGCTCGCCCCTCCCCCCGCCCCCCCCGCTTTGGGTCACAGTGAATTTTTGGGGGGGGGGGGGAGGGGTTTGAGGGGGGGTGCGCCCCTCCCCCACCCTGGGGGCGGGGTTTATTTGGGGGGAAGGGGCGGGGTCTGGGGTGGGGGAGGGGCGCTGGAAGACATTCGAGTGGGGGTCGTTGCCTCTTTAAGGGGGGGAGGGGCTTGGGGGGGTGGGGGAGGGGCCACGACCCTGAGAGAGCCCTTAGAGATGGGGGGGAGGGGCGGGGCCTGGGGGGGCGGGGCCCGTGAGCATGCGGGGCACGGGCGGGGGGAGGGGCGGGGCACGCGCGTGTGCAAAGGGGGGGAGGGGCACGCTCGTGTGTAACGGGGGAGTGGCTCAGAGCGCGTGTGCAAAGAGGGGGAGGGGTGAGTGTGCCAGGGAAGAGGGAGGGGCACGCGCGTGTGCAAGGGGGAGGGGTGAGTGTGAGGGGGAGAGTCGGTGAGTGTGCAAGTGATGGAGAGAGTGTGTCTTGCAGGAGTGTGCAAGGGGGTGTGAGTGTGCAGAGGGAAGGGCGAGTGTGCAAAGGGCGTGGGTGAGTGTGCAAGGGATGGGGTGAGTGTGTGGAAAACGAGTGTGTAAGAGGAAGGACGGGAGAGTGGCACATGAGTGTGCAAGGGGGGGTGTGAGTTTGTGTGCAAGGAAGAGTCAGTGAGTGTGCTAGGGATGGGGTGAGTGTGTTGCACACAAGTGTGTAAGAGGAGGTGGGAGAGTGGCAAACAAGTGTGCAAGGGGCCTTGCTGAGTGTGCAAAGGATGATGTAAGTGTGTGGGTTATAAGTGTGCAAGAGCTGTGTGTGAGAGGGGCTGTAAGTGTGCAAGGGGTGCGTGTGGGTGTGTGTGTCCGTGGGTGTGCAAGGAGGGGGTGCAGGGAGGTGTGAGTGTGCAAGGGGAAAGATGTGAGCGTGCCAGAGACGGCTGATTGTGAGCTGAGAGTGGGCAAGGCGTGTCAGAGCAGCTGCGAGTGTGCAAGATCTGCATTTGAGTGTGCAAGGGACATGTGACAGTGAGTGATCCTTGCACACGCGCGTGCACGGGGCCGCCATCACCCCCAGCAGCGCGTGCAAGCCTTGCACACGCGCGTGCCCGGCCCTGAGGGGGATCCCACCCCTCCCTTTGCACGCCCGGTCACACTCCCACATCCCCTTGCACGCCCAGGGGCTCTTGCACGCCCGGCGGCGCCTCCCGTTGCACACCCAGCGCCTCTTGCACGCCCGGGTCCGGCGCCACGTTCGCGTCTCGTTGCACAATCATCGCTTCTTGCACAATCATCGCCTCTTGCACAATCGCGTCCTGTTGCACGCCCGCCTCCGCCGCCTGTTGCACGCCCAGCAGCTCCCCTTGCACACCCGGCTCCCATTGCACGCCCATGTCCGCGTCCGGCAGCTCCTGTTGCACGCCCACGTGTCCTTGCATGCCCATCTCCGGTTGCACACCCATCTCCACGTCCCACAGCGTGCCCGGCGCTCCTTGCACGCCCAGCTCCTGTTGCACGCCCATCTCCACGTCCCGTTGCACGCCCAGCTCCCGTTGCACGCCCGGGTCCCATTGCACGCCCAGCTCCAGCTGCCGTTGCACGCCCAGCTCCTGTTGCACGCTCAGCTTCCTCTGGATCTCCACCTCCCGTTGCACACCCAGCTCCTGTTGCACGCTCAGCCGCCGCTGCGCCTCCAGCTGTTGCACGCTCAGCTTGCGCTGCTGCTGTTGCACGCTCAGATCCCGCCGGGCGCCCAGGTCCATCTCCTGTTGCACACTCAGCTCCCGTTGCACGCTCATGTCCCACCGGATGCCCACGTCCACGTCCCGGCGCCCGCTGTCCACGTCCCGTTGCACACTCAGCGCACACCCGCGCACGCCCAGAGCCCCTTGCACACCCAGAGCCCCTTGCACGCCCAAATCCCCTTGCACAATCGGGTCCCAGGGTGCACTTGGGTCCTGTTGCACACTTGGATCCCGTTGCACACTCAGATCCTGTTGCACAGTGGGATCCCTTTGCACATGGGCGTCTCGTTGCACACTCAGATCCTGTTACATTCCCATGTCCAGATCCCGTTGCACACTCAGATCCCGTTTCACACCTGGATCCTGTTGCACACTCGGATCCTTTCACAGTCTTAAGTCCATATGCTGTTGCACACTCGGATCCCATTGCACACTCGGATCCCGTTGCACACTGGGATCTTGTTACACATTCAGATACCATTACACACTCGGATCCCGTTGCACACTCAGATCCTGTTACATTCCCATGTCTGGATCTCGTTGCACACTCAGATCCTGTTACATTCTCATATCCAGGTCCCGTTGCACACTCGGATCCTGTTGCATACCCGGATCCCGTTGCACATCTGGATCCCGTTGCACACTCGAATCCCGTTGCACACTCGGATCCTTTCACAGTCTCAAGTCCAGATCCCGTGGCACACTTGGATCCCTTTGAACACCGAGATCCTGTTATACACCTGGATCCCATTTTACACCTGGACCCCGTTGCACACTCAGATCCCGTTGCACACTCGGATCCCGTTGCACATTCAGACCCCGTCACATTCCCATGTCTGGATCCCATTTTACACCTGGATCTCTTTGCACACTCGGATCCCATTGCACACCTGGATCCAACTGCATGCTGCTCAGATCCTGTGGCACACCCGGGTCCTGTTGCACACTTGAATCCTTTCACAGTCTTAAGTCCAGATCCCATTGCACACCCACATCCCATTGCACACTGAGATCCCCTTGCACATCTGGATCCCGTGGCACACTTGCACTCTCTTGTTGCACACCCGGAGGCTTTCACAGTCTCAAGTCCAGATCCTGTTGCACGCTGAGATCCCATTGCACACTTGGATCCCTTGGCACACTTGGGCCCCATTTTACACCCGGATCCAATTGCACACCCAGATCCCGCTGCACGCCTGGACCCCATTTTACACCTGGATCCTGTTGCACGCCCGGATCCCCTCGCACATTTGGATCCCGTCGCACACCCAGGTCCTGTTGCACACTCGGATCCTTTCACAGTCTTAAGTCCAGATCCCGCGGCACACTCGGATCCCTTGGCACACACGGATCCCATTACACACACGGATCCCATTACACACCTGGATCCTGTTGCACACTGAGATCCCATTGCACACCTGGATCCCATTGCACACCTGGACCCCATTGCACACTCACGTCCCCCCCTCCCCCTCTTTCCCTCACACCTGAGGGTCCCTCCCTGGTACCTGGGGGTCCCTCCCTCACACCTGGGGGGTCTCTCTTCGGTACCTGGGGGTCCCTCCCTCACATCTGGACGTTTCTCATTGACACCTGAGGGTCCCTTTTTGGTACCTGAAGGTGTCTCCCTCACACCTGAGGGTCCCTCCATCCCACCTGGGAGTGTCTCCTGGGCACCTGAAGGTGCCCCCCTCACACCTGAAAATTTCTCATTGACACCTGAGGGTCCCTTTTTGGTACCTGAAGGTGTCTCCCTCACACCTGGGGGTCTCTTCTCGGTACCTGAGGGTCCCACACTCACACCTGAGGGTCCCTCTCTCTCACGTGGGAGTCTCTCCTCGGTACCTGAAGATCCCTCCCGTGTACCTGAAGATACCTCCTTCACACCTGCGAGTCTCCCCTCGACACCTGGAGGCTGCTCCCTCACACCTGAGGGTCCTTCCCTCACACCTGGCGATGGTACCTGGGGATGTCTCCTCGCTACCTGGGTGTCTCCTCCTCACACCTGGGAGTCTCACCCCAGTACCTGAAGGTCTCCCTGTCACACCTGAGGGCCCCTCCCTCACACCTGGGGATGTCTCCTCTGTACCCGAGAGTCTCTCCTCGGTACCTGAGGGTCCCTCCCTGGTACCTGGGGGTCCCTCCCTCACACCTGGGAGTTTCTCATTGACACCTGAGGGTCCCTTTTTGGTACCTGAGGGTCCCTCCCTCACACCTGGGGATGTCTCCTCGGTGCCTGAGGATCTCTCCCTGGTACCTGAAGGTCCCTCCCTCACACCTGGAATTTTCTCATTGACACCTGAGGGTCCCTCCTCGGAACCTGAAGGTCCCTCACACCTGAGGGTCCCTGTCTGGTACCTGGGGATGTCTCCTCAGTACCTGGGTGTCTCCCCCTCACACCTGGGAGTCTCTCTTCGGTAGCCGGGGGTCCCTCTCTCACACCTGGACATCTCTCCTCGGCACCTGAGGATCTCTCCCTGGTACCTGAAGGTCCCTCCATCCCACCTGGGAGCGTCTCCTCGACACCTGGCGATGTCTCCTCGGTACCTGGGTGCTTCTCCTCGGTACCTGAGGGTCCCTCCCTCACACCTGGCGATGTCTCCTCGGTACCTGAGGCTCTCACCCCGTTACCTGCCTGCTTCCTCCTCCCACCCCGTTGCCTCCCGCAGGTACCGGAGCCCCTCCCACAGCCACCAAAGCCCGTCCCACAGGTACCAAAACCCCTCCCACCTGTCCCCCCGCCGGATCCCCCCCCCCCCCCCCCCCCCCGTTCTCCCGCGCAGGTGCGCAGGTGCGCGGCCATCACCTCTCGAGGAAGAGGCGCAGGGCGCGGTCGATGTTCATGCGGTGCCCGACGCGGGTGACGCCCAGGTCGATGTAATCCTCCTTGGTGAGCGCGGGCAGGTGCGTGCCGTCGATCTCGTTGTGCAGGAAGCGCGCCCGGTGCTCGCCCAGGTTCAGCGACTCCAGCCAGTCCGCCACGTCGAACTTGCTCCAGAAAGCCAAAGGTTTCGCCCCAAAAGGCTTCGCGGGGGCGGGGCCGCCCGTGATTGACGCGGCGGCGGCGGCGCGGGGCGGGGACAGCGAGCGCAGCTCCAGGTAAGAGGAGGCGGAGCTTCCTCCCCCGGCTCCTCCTCCTCCTCCTCCGCCGTACAGGTGAGCCGCAGGTAAGGTGGGCAGGGAGGCGGGGCGGGGGGCGGGGCTCCCGCGGCGCTCCGAGGGCGGGGGGGCGGGGCTGGGCGCGCGCCGGAGGGGCGGGCGCACGTCCAGGTCTCCGCCCACGGCCACGCCCACCGAGGGTTTGGGGGGAGGCGGCGGCCAATGGGGGAAGAGGGCGGAGCTCGGGGGGAGGGGCTTGGTGGGCGTGGTGGAGGAGGAGGGGGGAGGGGCGGAGTCCGTGAGCCTGCGGGGGGGGAGGGGGAGGGGAAAGGGGGAGGGGTTAGAGAGGGGGAGGGGCGGGGACACGGCCACGCCCCTTCCCATCATAATCCCCCACAATGGCTGGCGCAGGTGAGGTGAGAACAGGTGAGAACAGGTGTGGAACAGGTGAGAGGTACGGAACAGGTGAGAACAGGTGAGAACAGGTGTGGAACAGGTGAGAGGTATGGAACAGGTGAGAACAGGTGTGGAACAGGTGAGAACAGGTGTGGAACAGGTGAGAGGTATGGAACAGGTGAGAACAGGTGAGAGGTATGGAACAGGTGAGAACAGGTGTGGAACAGGTGAGAACAGGTGTGGAACAGGTGAGAGGTATGGAACAGGTGAGAACAGGTGAGAACAGGTGAGAACAGGTGTGGAACAGGTGAGAGGTATGGAACAGGTGAGAACAGGTGTGGAACAGGTGAGAACAGGTGAGATGCGGTAGAGGTACGGAACAGGTGAGAACGGTAAGATACAGATGAGGTGAGAACAGGTGAGATACAGGTGAGATGAACAGGTGAGATACAGGTGAGGACAGGTGAGGCGAGGTGAGGTGAGATACAGGTGAGACACAGGTGAGAGCAGGTGAGATACAGGTGAGAGATACAGATGAGCACAGGTGAGAAATACAGGTGAGAACAGGTGAGAGGTGTGGGACAGGTGAGAACAGATGAGGTGAGAACAGGTGAGATGAACAGGTGTGGAACAGGTGAGAGCAGGTGAGATACAGGTGAGAGATACAGATGAGCACAGGTGAGAGGTGTGAACAGGTGAGAAATACAGGTGAGGTGGGATACATGTGAGAACAGGTAAGAACAGGTGAAGTTAGAACAGGTGAGAACAGGTGAGATACAAGCGCGAACAGCTGAGGACAGGTGAGATGCAGGTGAGGTACGAAACAGGTGAAGTGAGAACAGGTGAGAACAGGAATGAACAGGTGAGGTGTGAAGAGGTCAGGTGAGAAAAGGTGACATACAGGTGAGAGCAGGTGAGAACAGGTGACCAGAGGTGTGGTACAGGTGAGGTGTGAGCAGGTGAGGTACAGGTGAGAAACAGGTAAGTTGTTGTACAGGTGAGGTGGGCACAGGTGTGCTGGCTCCAGGTGTGACAGACACCACAGGTGCAATGACCCACCCCAATCCATGCAACAGCCGCCACAGGTGTGCCACAGGTGTGCCACAGGTGTGATACCCTCCCAAGCCCATGCAGCAGGTGCCAGGTATGCCACAGGTGTGCCACAGGTACCACAGGTGAATCACAGGTGTGCCACAGGTGAATCACAGGTGAGCCACAGGTGTGCAACAGGTATGATACTCTCCCGAGCCCATGCAGCAGGTGCCAGGTGTGCCACAGGTGTGATGGTGCCCCCCAATCCATGCAACAGCCACCACAGGTGTGCCACAGGTGTAACAGGTGTGCCACAGGTGTTCCACAGGCATCACAGGTGTGCTCAGGTGTGCCACAGGTGCCACCCCCCCAAGCCCATGCAGCAGGTGGCAGGTGTGCCACAGGTGTGCCACAGGTGCAATGGGTCCCTCCATCCATGCAGCAGGTGCCAGGTGTGTCACAGGTGCCAGGTGCGATGGGTGCCCCCCCAAAACCATGCACAGAGTGCCAGGTGTGCCACAGGTGTGTCACAGGTGTGTCACAGGTGTGCCACAAGTGTGTCACAGGTGTGATGTCCCCTCCAATCCATGCAGCAGGTGCCACAGGTGTGCCACAGGTGCAATGGGTGTGCCACAGGTGTGCCACAGGTACGATGGGTGTGCCACAGGTGCGATGCCCCCTCCAATCCATGCAGCAGGTGCCACAGGAGTGCCACAGGTGTGCCACAGGTGCGATGTCCCCCTCCCAAATCCATGCACCAACTCCAGCAGGAGCAACGGGTGCCAGGTGTGCCACAGGTGTGCCACAGGTGTGCCACGGGTGTGTCACAGGTGTGATGGCCCCCCCCAAGGCCATGCAGCAGGTGCCAGGTGTGCCATGGGTGTGTCACGGGTGTGTCACAGGTGTCACCGCCCCGTCCATGCAATGGGGGCCCCAGGTGTGCTGGGTGATGTGAATGTCACAGGCGTGTCACAGGTGTGATGGATGCCACGCCCCCCAGGTGTGATGGATGGATGGAAGCTCCACCTCCATGTTTGATCGACGGACAGAAGCCCCGCCCTCAGGTGTTCCACAAGCCCCGCCCCCCCAGGTATGATGAATACGCCCAGGTGTAATGGACACCCCAGTAGCCTCACAAGCCCCGCCCCCAAGTGCAAAGCCCCGCCCCCAGGTGTGATGGACACGCGTTGCCCCCCTAAGCCACGCCCCCCAGATGTGATGGATGGACGGAAGGCCCGCCCCCCCAGGTGTGATAGACGGAAGGAAGCCCCGCCCCCCCCAGGTGTGATGGATGGATGGAGGCCCCGCCCCTCACCTGATCCTCCCCGCGAACCCCGCCCCCCCAGGTGTGATGGATGGATGGAGGCCCCGCCCCTCACCTGATCCTTCCCGCGAACCCCGCCCCCCCAGTGTGATGGATGGATGGAGGCCCCGCCCCTCGCCTGATCCTCCCCGCGAACCCCGCCCCCCCCAGGTGTGATGGATGGATGGAGGCCCCGCCCCTCACCTGATCCTCGCGGCGAACCCCGCCCCCCCAGGTGTGATGGATGGATGGAGGCCCCGCCCCTCACCTGATCCTCCCCGCGAACCCCGCCCCCCCAGGTGTGATGGATGGATGGAGGCCCCGCCCCTCACCTGATCCTCCCCGCGAACCCCGCCCCCCCAGGTGTGATGGATGGATGGAGGCCCCGCCCCTCACCTGATCCTCCCCGCGAACCCCGCCCCCCCAGGTGTGATGGATGGATGGAGGCCCCGCCCCTCACCTGATCCTCCCCGCGAACCCCGCCCCCCCAGGTGTGATGGATGGATGGAGGCCCCGCCCCTCACCTGATCCTCCCCGCGAACCCCGCCCCCCCAGGTGTGATGGATGGATGGAGGCCCCGCCCCTCACCTGATCCTCCCCGCGAACCCCGCCCCCCCAGGTGTGATGGATGGATGGAGGCCCCGCCCCTCACCTGATCCTCCCCGCGAACCCCGCCTCCAGTCCCGCGCGGCTCCAGCCGGGCGCGCCCATCCCCCCTCGGTGTCCGCCCTGCTGGGGGGGGAGGGGCAGCGCCAGCGCCGGCAGGGGGGGGAGGGGCAGCGCCGGCTCCTCCCCTCCCCCTCCCCCACCCCAATCCCTGCCCCCCCCTCAGCACCACCCGGCCCCGCCCCCCGCGCCGCCCCTCCCCCAGCCCCGCCCCCCCGTCCAGCCCCTCCCCCAGCTCGGGGGGGTGGTCGCTGCTGCTGCGGCTGTCGGGCTCCTCGATGCCCGAGTCCGTCACGGCCTCCGCGCCCGCCTCGGCGGCGGCCCCGCCCCCCAGGATAACCCCGCCCACTCCCGAAACCCCCGCCCCTCCTCCTCCCCCCTCGGCGCGGGTCGTGCGTGGCCCCGCCCCCGGCCCCGCCCCCTCCCCCCTGCGTCAGCGTGGCCACCTCGCTGTCGTACGAGGTCAGGCTGGAGGTGGCCGAGTCCGCCCCGCCCCCCATGGAGGGGGGGGGGAGGGGCGGCAGGGGGAGGGGCCCCGTCCTGGTGGTGGTGGTGTGGGGGAGGGGCCACCCCGGAATGGGGGGGAGGGGTCTCGAAGCTGTTGGCGAACTCGAGGGGCGGGGGGAGGGGGCTCGGCCAGCAGCAGCTCCTCGTCCGCGTCCACCGAGGGGGCGGGGGGGGGCAGGGAGAGCAGGGGAGAGCCCCCTCCCCCACCCCCCGAGACCCCTCCCCCCATGGAGACCCCGCCCCCACCGTCGGAGAAGCGCACGCGCCCCTCGGAGGCCCCGCCCCCTCCCCAAAGGGGCTCGAGGCGGCGGGAGGGGCTCCCGGGCACTTTTTGGGGAGGGGGCGTCTTGGGCAGAGTGGGGGGGCCCGAGAGGTGCAGCGAGGAGGAGACCCCGCCCAAAAGGGGGAGGGACCGAACCCCGACCCCGCCCCCCATGGAGAGGGAGGCGCCCATCCCCCCCCGCCCCGCCCCCCAGGCTGGGGGTGGTGGTGGTGGAGCGCGGAGGGGGCGGGGCCGGCGGCGGGGGGCGGGGCGTGCATGGGCGGGGGGAGCCCCCCGTGGAGCCCCCCCAGGGGAAATGGGGAGGGGGCGGCGGCGGGGAGGGGGGGAGCACGCGGCAGGAGCCGGCGGGGGGAGGGGCGGAGCGCGCGGGGCTCAAACCGGGATGGACCGGGGACAAACCGGGATGGACCGGGGACAAACTGGGGTGAACTGGGGACAAACTGGGGTGAACTGGGCCCATACTGGGGTGAACTGGGCCCATACTGGGATGGACCGGGGTCATACTGGGATGGACCGGGCTCAAACTGGGATGGACCGGGGACAAACTGGGGTGAACCGGGCCCATACTGGGATGAACTGGCCCCGCCCCCGGGTGCATAGGGGGAGGAGCCGCCCCTCCCCCAGCCCCGCCCCCTCCCCCCACGCTGCTGAAGGCGCTGCCCCTCCCCCCACCCGCCCCTCTGGCCCCGCCCCCCTCGGTACCCCGCGGGTAGGGGCGGGGAAAGGCTCCGCCCCTCCCGCCATGGCCCCGCCCCCCCCGGCCGCGAACATCCCCTCGTCGATGCTTTTGGAGTGACGTAATCGCGGCTGGGCGGGGGGCGGGCCCAAGCCCCCTCCCCCTCCCCCTCCCGAAGCCCCGCCCCCCACGCCCTCCTCATCCTCCTCGGTGCTGAGGAAGAGCGCGGAGCGACGCCCCGCCCCCCACTCCCTCCGCCCCGCCCCCACCAGCGCCGCCCCGAACTGCGAGGTGAAATCCAATCCCGGCGAGGGGGGGCGTGGCCATGGGGGGCGGGGCCGCCCCTCCCCCCCCACCGCCCTGCGGACCCCCCCACCCCTCCGCCCCCCACCCCCGAGGGTCCGTCGGGGGTGGCCGAGGCCCCGCCCCCTCCCCCCGAAGCCCCGCCCCCCGAAGCCCCGCCCCCGCCCCCCTCGGCCTCCACGCTGCTGCCGCGGCTGGAGCGGCCCGAGCTCGAGGTCGAGGGGGCCTTGACGACGATCGTGGGTATCGCGATAGAGCTCTTGTCCGCCCCTCCCCCACCCGCGCCCACACCCCCCGGCCCCGCCCAGGGGCGCCCCGCCCCCGGCCCCGCCCCCTCCCTGCCCCTCCCCCTCCACTTTGGTCTGCTTCACCAGCGGCCCCTTCCGCCGCAGCGGCTTCGGGGGGCCCCCCCCCGACCCCCACCCCCACCCCGCCCCCTCCCCGGGCCCCGCCCCCCCCCCAGGTTGTACAGGCGCCAGGGCGCCCCTCCCCCACCCGGCGGGCCGGGGGCGTGGCGCGGGCTGGGGGGGGGAGGGGCGGTGTAGGGCGGCTCGGGGGGGGACGTGGTGGGGGGGAGGGGGGATCTCGTCCGAGCCGGGCACCGAGAGCGAGCGGCTGAAACGGCCCGGGGGGGGCGCCAGGTACGGCTTCTCCTCCTCGGGGGCACCTGCGGGACGGGAACGGTCAGCAGCATTAGCCATTCATTACTAATTATTAGTTATTAGTTAATTATCAACTCATTGTTATTTAATTATTAAGAAGTCATGAATAAATCTCCTCCTCCGGGGCACCTGGGGAACGGGAGTTCATCATTAGTCATTAATTATTAATGAATTATTATTAATTATTACAACCAGAATTATTATTGACTATTAATAACATCAAATAGTAAAAATCAGTTGTTAAAAAGTTATTAACAAAAATTACCTATTAAAATTCATAAAATTTATTATTATTAATTAGTAATTATTAATGAATTATTAATAATTATTACTAACATAAATATTATTAACTATTAATAACATCAACTAGAAAAAATAAATTGTTAATAAGTTATTAATAAAAATTACCTAATAAAATGAATACAAATGATTATTAATTGTTAATTATTAAGTAATTCATTAATAAAAATTAGTTATAACGAATTAATAAAATTAAGTGTGTAAACAGATTATTAAAAATAAACTAAATTGTTATTAATAATTAATAACAACAATTAAGTATTAATTACTAATTACTATTAATTATTAGATTATTAGATTATTTGTTAATAGAAAATAGTTATGAGGAATTATTAAAATTAGGTGTGTAAAGGAAGTATTAAAAAACCAATTAATTAAAAAATTTCTTATTAATAATCACTTACTAATTTGTTTATAACAATTAGTTATAACGAATTATTAAAATTAAGTGTGTAAACAAATTATTAAAAATCAATTAATTAATGAAATAGTTACTAATAAATATAATTTATAAATTTCTAAAATTATTTATAATGAATTATTTCAATTATGTATGAAAACAAATTATTTAAAACAGTAAAAATAAATTATCAATGTTATTAATAATTATTATTAATTATGTAATAATTTACTAATAAAAATTAGTTATAGCGAATTATTAAAGTCGAGTGTGTAAACGAAGTATGAAAAATCAATAAATTAATTAGTTTTGAATAATTAATAACTATTATTAATTATTATTATTAACAATAATTGTTAATTATTAAATTATTGATAAAATTTGTTATAACAAATTATTAAAATTAAGTGTGTAAACGAAGTATTAAAATTCAATTAATTAATAAAAAAGTTAATTATTTATTAATTTATAAAATAATTTATTTGTAATAAATTATTAAAATTATATATGAAAATGAATTATTTCAAACAGCAATAATAAATTATTAATGTTATTAATAAAAAGTAATAAAATGTAATTATCAAAAATTATTGTTAAGAAGTATTAAAATTAAGTATTAAAACAGTTATTAAAAATAATTAATTAGAAACAATTATTAAAAATTAACTAGAATACTAAAATTCAGCGAGATGAGTTTGGGGGGCAGAGTTTGAGGGGCAGGGGGGAAAAGGGGAAAAATTCAAAGAGAAACAGAAAAAAACCCCACTGAAAAAACCCACAAAAAACTACCAAAAAAAATCCCCCAAAAAACCAAAAAAAAACCAAAAACCCCAAAATAACCAAAAAACCCCCAAACCCCCCCCAAAATTCCCCAAATTTCCCGTTTTGCGGACGCACCGATGGATTTCTGGCGCAGCATCAGCCCGTGGGGGGGGCCCGGGGGCAGGAAGGGGCGGTCGAAGCCCCCCGGCCCCACCCGGTGGGACTCGAACGGACCCTGGGGGGGAAAGGGAAAAATTCACCCCAATTTCACCCCAATTTCACCCAAATATCGCCTGAATTTCAGCCAAATTTCACCCAAAGTTCGCTTGAATTTTACCCAAATATCACCTGAATTTCACCTG